AGACAATGTCGACCTCATACATCAACTACTGGATTAATGTAGATAGATTTTAATGAATGGGATCTCTCTTCATCAATGATCTCTTCTTGTATCATTAAAAGCTAACATCTTTATTTCTCTTTTTCACTCTTTTCATGAACAGGTTCCTCTCCTACAGGAAAAAAATGCTGCCAAAATACTCATCACTGTATCCTCATTCAAGAGACAGAAATAACATCAGAGGCTGGACTCTGTGTTGTGATACCGTGCTCTTTCACTGTTGCTGCTGGTTTTGATGTCAAAAGTGTAATTTGGTACAAATGTGATCCAGCTGATAAAAAAGATTGTAAATCTGACACACCGATATTTAACTCCAGTAACAACGGAAATGCTCAGTCTGGGTTACACTGACCATGTCACTACTTCTACACTGACATTGTCACCTAATTTTGGGGGCCTTTTGTGTAGAGTCTGACCGGTATTTGATTTTTGGGGCTGATGCCGATACCGATATTAGAGAGTAAAAGAATTCAGATATTGATATGTTGGCTGATATACATATATATATATAAACAGTTGTGAAAAAGATATTTTATGAAAGCAGGATATTTTAAAGTTTAACAATAAACTTTATTTTCCAAAATGACATCAGTGCACTGAAGCGGTAAATTTCACTGGGAATTAAATAAATTAACTATAAAAATAACTTTGAATTATTATTGACTTATTAATAAAGTATAAATAAAAAACATAAGAACAAATATGTAAATATATTATATATACTTGAATGAAAACAAAAGATCATATATACATAAAATGCTGCCTATATAACTTGACTTGACCCGAGCATTTCCACTGCATTATTACTTCTTAATAAAAGTATTCATATCAGCACATATCGGAAAATATATGCGCCGATACTGACATATCTGTGATATAAATGATATATTAATTAAATGTTAATTAAATGTTTGCTAAAATATCAGTCTTGTGTTAAGAGAATAGTCTTTACTTGTCTCAGTTGCTGCAGTAAATGGTTCAGAGGGCTTAAACATTGGACAGGGGCCCTGGAACATGGCTGGGATTATAGATAATTGTTCTTGTGCTCTTGTTGTAAAGATTATTGTGATAAATTCAATGATACAGAATGTTTCAAGAACTGAGCACAAAGTGCTTTACCATAAAAGAAAGTGGTCAAAGCCCTGCACAAAGTGTGTTAGTCTAGAAACTACAGAATAACTGAACGTGATGATGATGTTAACTGTGGAGTTTCCTTTGGTTCAGTTCCTGCCTGTTTATTGCATTTTTAGTACAAAGTTTGTCCTGTGGAGAGAGACTGACTGTCTCAAGCATCAAAGGATGTTTGTTCTCATCTGGGCGACTCTGTTTTTCTCTGTGAGAAGCAGCAATGCTGATACAGGTATTCAATTTTTATTTTTAATCTTGTTTTGTTGCCAACATTAAAGATATTTATGAAATAATTAGCAATAATTTGCCAAAATAAATGTACTTATGAAGATCCTCCAGACAAGCTTTCAAATTAAAGTATTTAGTTTTTCCACACTGAATTTACCAGCATATTACACATTACTCACAACATCTATTCACATGGAAACTCTAGGATAGATAGTTAATTGTGCATTTATTTATTTTTTTATTTACCACATATATTATGAATAATGAAGTGTGTTAATTACTGAAATTCTATTGTGTTCTTTGGTCAACACTTCTAACAGCAGTTATATAACTAAGATACAGTCGATGTACTATATGACATTTCTTCATCATTTATTTAATGTCATGGTGTAACTTTCTCATTCCCTGTTTCTGTCTTACTGTTGCATTAACAGGTGCATCAGTGGGAGGAAGACAACAATGTTTACGCTTCCTATATGGATACTGTATCACTCTGCCTGAAGGAGAAATAACAGCTGAGGCCGGACTCTGTGTTGTGATACCGTGCTCTTTCACTACTAGTTATAGCTTTACACCCCAAAAGCTAGTTTGGTACAAATGTGAACCAACTGAAGAAAAATGTAGTGATTCAGACGTTATATTCCACACTAACAAAAACAACATAAAAATTCAGTCTGAGTTTAGAGGGCGAGTGTCACAGTTGGAGCCTGATGTGAGTCAGAGGAACTGCAGCATCATCATCAATGACCTGAAGGAGTCAGACTCTGGATCATATCAATTCAGAGTTAATGGTATTCTGAATGGAAGATCAGATGGGTTGACATACCCTCCAAGGGCAACTGTCTCTATTAAAGGTAAGAAGAACTACAATAAACATATAAAGTGAAATGTTGTGCCTTTTGAACTGCACTGACATATCTGGTGTATTTACAGTCTTAATGGGACATAAAGTAATGTTTGGCATTTGTCGACCTCTGTGGGCAGCCAGTTCCTACTGGTTCCCTCATTGAAGAGTTTATCAAAATATCAGATTAATTGAACCCAAATTTAAGTGAAAGATGACCTTCAGGCTGCTCACCTGATTCCACTTATGGACTGGTCTCCCTTCAGCTCTGACTCAGAAGCCCGAGGTGACGATTCCTCCTCTGACAGAGGGACAGCAGACCACACTGACCTGCACTGCTCCTGGTCTCTGCTCTGGATCTGATCCTCAAATCACCTGGACGTGGAGAGGAGCAGGAGAGAAAGGCTCCCACATCACAGGAAACATCACTGATTTCAAGACTGAGAGTCTGTCCGCTGTCACACAGAAACACAGTTCAAATTTGACCTTTAACCCTTCAGCTGAACACCACGGCACCAGTGTCACCTGTAAGGTCAGCTTCACAGGAAACGCTGCAACAGAGGAGACAGTGACTCTGAATGTGACCTGTGAGTAGCACATACTGTACTTCACTGAGATTCGCTCTTTCTGAGGGTTTTCTGAACTGTGTTGAATGTTACATCATCATCTGTGTTCTTGAATTTAGTGATGCTATATAATTGTGCAACATGTCTTTTTGTGTCATAGATGTGAAGGAAATTAGAGTCACTGGGGATACAAGTGTGAAGGAGGGTGAGACTGTGAATCTGACCTGCAGTGTTGACAGTTTCCCTCCATTACTCATCGTGTGGACTAAACTGTCCGACCTAAACATTCAAAATGGAACAGAAACTAATCTGCACAACGACACATTAACTGACCTGCAGAACGACACTGAAACTTACCTGCAGCAAGGAAGTGGAGTGGCCACTCTCTCCATCTCTAATGTGACAGAAGATGAATCTGGGCTGTACATCTGCACAGCAAAACATCTGAATAACAGCTGGAAGAAAAATGTGAATGTAACAGTGATATGTAAGTACATTGTTCTACATTGTGTTTTCAGATGGTAAATTAATAGTACTGTAGTTTTTTCGTAGCAGATAACTGAAACTATGAGTTTACTACAGACACCAAATTTAATAACCCTCCCAATTCACCCTCAATAACTTGCCCTACCCTGCACCTTCAAATGTGCAATATTTTAGGCCATTTTCATCATTTCTAACTGCATGTCTTTTACTGTACTGACGTTTAATGGTGTCTTTTAGTTTCTGTTGTAACTTAGATTTTGTGCTTTGTTGCTGTGTGACAGCTTTCAGGTGGTCGTCATCTTCACCACAGCCACATGTTTAGAATAATAAAAACTTGTGTTGTTGTTAAAGGGATGGTTCACGTCATATGATGTGGGGTTGTATGACGTGGTCATGCATAGTCGGTGTATTTCCTGCAATAGATTCAGACTGACACGCTGCCATTTAGGAGAGGCAGCAGGGAACATGGCACACTAGCAGAGAGATTTGTGCTACTGTGAACAGCAGAAAAAATGTGTTTTAGACACTTTTAAAAGACGCCCCCGAAACAGTTAGACATACGCTTCATGTAGAATATTTTCAGGTCATTATCTTCCCATCAAAACAGCACTTTCCTTTGGTCCTACATTGTTCTGCTGAACTGCCATATTCCTACACACAAGTGCACCTACAGTGTGAACTGTATTATGCCACAGTCGCAGGTCAGCTGAGTGAATCAGAAAGAGCTAAACTTCACTTTGTGGTGACGAGAAGATGAAGCACTGGAAATATTCTAAATTAAGCGTACATTTAAACAGATATTGGATTGTTTCTGTAGGCGGCTTTTGTCTAAAACATGTTTTTTTCTGCTGGCCCCGTGCACAGCAGCACATCGCTCTGCTTCTGTGCCATTGATCCCAGCTGCTTCTCTAAACTGGCAGCGCACTGATCTGAATATACTGCAGGTAACACACTGACTGTGCAGGACTACCTCACACAACCCCACGTCAAATAACCCAAACTATCACTTTAATGTCACTCTATGGCATTTTGAAATGTATTAAACTTTAGCACCCTCTAGTGGTAGTATTTAAAAACATAGACTGTGGCAGACTGCTTAAGTACATGCAATCACAAAAACTTATATACTTAACTGATACCTATATTTATACAGTTTTATGTAAAGAATTGACAATATGGCTGTTTTTTGGTACTTTTTTAGAACTCCTAAAATTACTCTGAAGTTGCACTACTGTATGTGATATATACAATGAATTGCTTTACTTAAAGATGTTTTGAATTGATTAGAAAAAGTTCTTCATCTGTCCCCTCCCTCTTTATATTCAGCTCAAATGTATGTATGTTTAAAATGTGCTTCACAGATATGAGAGAACCTGGGATCACTGGGGATACAACTGTTAAGAAGGGAAGTGCTCTGAATCTGACCTGCAGCCTTGAAAGTTTCCCTCCATCTCTTATTACATGGACTAAACTTGGCCTCAATACAAACCTGCACAATGGAACTAACCTGCAGAGCAACACTGGATCTGCCAGACTTCTCATCCCTAATGTGACCGCAGAAGATTCTGGACAGTACGTCTGTACAGCAAAACACCTGGACACGAATGTGACTATTTATGCTGATGTGACAGTGACTTGTAAGTAGACTGTACTAATCTTTTTGAGAAGGAGGTTTATGTTCACATTTTAATCTGTCAGCATATTGTTGTGATGTTGTGATCCTGCTTGTGTGTTTACAGGGTTTTCAAAGATCTCAAAAAACTCTAGATGTGAGGTTCAGTCGGAGCTCCTGACCTGTGTGTGTATCACTGAGGGGATTCCCTTACCCACCATCAAATGGCCGCTGTTGAAGAACTACACTGAGTACTCAGTCATTACCACTGTGACAAACCACACAGTCAACAGCACCGTCATTCTCACTGTAAAAGATCCCAGCAACACTGTTGTTGACTGTGTCAGCGGCAATGAAAATGGGGAAGCAAAGATGAACCTCAACATCCAAAAAAACTCTATCACACAAGGTGGTACATGTTCTCAACCACAACACTGCTACCATAGACCACTGCTTTATGACGTTTTTATGACCTATTTTACCTCTTTTGTTCAGACACATATTGGGCAAGCTTTCGCATGTATATAATTGTTCAGAAACACATGGGCATCAACATTTTTTCTTTTGTTCCCTCTGATTGCAGAACCATCCAATCCATTATTAAAAAGTATTTCACGGTTGGAAACCATCATTGCCTTTTTGATTGGTGTTCTTCTTTCAGCAATCATCTGCTGTTTCGCAAAAAAATGCCACAGGTGCACTATTAATTTGATTAATTATTTCTTAGGTTTTCTTAGTGGATAATTATACATGTAAATATCTTGCTGTTTAATTACGTTTACTCTTCTTTTTTTTCAGAAAAAAAGCGAACTCTGGAAATCTGGATGAGACTGTGGAGATGGTGACCAGTCAAGAGGATCCGCTGGTATTTATATTGATTCATCTTATAGTATATATATCAGTTAATGGTTTGAGATACTCCCTATCTCTTTCTTAAACAACCATGTGCATGTTTAGTCCATTTTTTACAAATAATGTACAGATAGCAGTACTGCTGACCATTATGGAGAACTTTGTGTTTTTTTATTTTAGACGTGTGAATGTGGTTTCCGTTTCAGTCACAGACACTTTATTCAGGGAACCAACCATAATTACCAAACGACAACACAATTGCATTGTACAGAGAAGGCGCTTCTCTTGGAGTGAGCTCTCAAAGACTCTGAGCAGCAACAGAGAGTCTGTTATATGAACCAATCCCCTCTTAACAAACTTTTAACATACGTCGACATGAAACCCTGCAGTAATGCAGCACATAAGGAGGAGGTTGGGGTGGTGAAGGGAGGTACAGCATCAGCTGAGTAATGGTGACAAGGGTCAGGTTTTAAATGCTGCTTTGTACACCTGCATTAATATGACTGGACGTCATTAGTCAGCTTGTAGCCAAGCAGTTGATGAATGAGCCACTGATGGTGAAGTCTAAATGAAGCAGCTCATGTCAATCAACTCATGCAAGCATAACTTTATGTATATCTATGCTTGATTCATTTCCTACATGAAAATCAAGTTGCAGAGCGCTGAAAGTTGCAGACCTGCAAACTTGAGATACTGTTTATTTTATCACAGTCGACACCATGTCTTCTTCTATGGTCAGAGTTCCCGTTTTGTTGCTTTGCAATGCACTTTTAAATAGACTGATTTGAAAAGACTGTTCTGGATGACCATATAACAGTAATCTAACCATCACACAAAGCAGATACATACATAAGTGAAAAGACTCAAGCTGTAGCCGGGAGGAACAGAAACATGGCTATGACTTAAAAAGAATAGTTGGCAGCAATGCAAAATATCCCAGACAGAGAGAGTTAATGCATAGTGTAGAGTTTTTGGGCTTGTAGCAGCTGCTGAATCAGTCATATCATTTACATTGTACCTGGCAGATACATGATGGTCAAGCAGTAGAAGATGATCAGACCCACGGCCGAAAGGGAGCTGAAGATGCAGCTGTGGCAGCAGAGAAAACAGCCCCTGTACTGGACACTGGGCCAAAAGACGTGGAGTACGCCAGCATTGACTTCTCACTGTTGAAAAGAAGGAGTCTCAGGCAGGCGGCAAAGAAACAAGAGACCGCAGAGACAGAGTATGCTGAAATCAAAAAAGAAGTAAAAGAGGAAAGAGAAGACGACGGTGGAGAAGAAGGTGAAATGTTGGAGGGGAAAGAGGAGAGGGTCATGAAGGAGGAGGATGAGGAGACAAAATGCTGTGTCCCAGGAGAGGAGGAAGGGGAGGACATGGCGGTGTACTCCAATGTAAAGGATATAATGGGTGAGATGTAAGGATTGTGTCTTGGAAATGCCTGAAGATAAAGTGTCATTGCTCTCATCAGATGTAATGGATTAACACCACCAGCGCTGTGATCTTCAAAAGCCAAATTCAGCTTGTGATAAACTGTGACTGAGATACGTAACACCTCTACATTTTTGGTGCTATGCATCTGCACTCATTTGACTCAAGGTGGACTGGAAGTTGGGCAGAATTTCCTCATTCAAGTGTTATTGTGCTGTAGTATGTTGTGCCCTTTTGGTCCAAGTGGTTATCTGTTTTTGGTAATAAATGTCAGTCCGTCCGCCACCTTGATTCAGACTAAAAAATCGAAACCATTGAACAAACTGCCTTCAAACTTTGTACAGACATGATATAGATTAGATTATATACAGTACACTGAAAGAGTAAGATCCCTTCCTAGAGTAGTTCCATTGTACGCAGTGTCATCTACTGATCTCATTCTCTGCAAAGTAAGCATTACAAGATGGAGTTAATGAGACTTCAGCGGTCTGAATTTGACAAATCAAGAAGGTGTCCCTAGAATATATACCCAATATCAGTTTCCTTGTTTCTTGCTGATTTGCAGTGGGTGGATGGTAATGACATTTCAGTTGCCTATAGCTATTTGTATTTTATGCCTTTAGGGATTACAGATCAGTGCAATGTCAGTTTTAATAATCTTCATTTTATCATGTTATTTCAAGCTAATTTGCTTCTATAGCTCTGTTAAAGCTGCTGCTCTTCAGCAGGTCATGGATTACTTCCCCTTTTGAAAAATGTGTTAAAAATCAGGTTGACTCTCAGTACTAAGTAAGCAGGTTTTATGTTTTAACAGAAAATACATTTGTTTATGTTTGGAGCTAACCCATTGAGTTGTCAGTTTTTAAGCTTTTCATATATTTTGCAATATCTACAGGTTCTGTGACAGTTCAGTGAGTGTTGAATCAGTAACTGATAAGGACAGCTATAGTTTGTGGCTAAAATGGCCGTTAATATCTATGTGTGTGAAAAGGAAGTTATTAAACAGAATCCAGTGATGCCATATTAGGCAAAGTAAGATGACTAATTGCTTGATCCACCTCTCTGAGAACGCAGCTTTGAAAGACTTTGCACAATACACCATTGAACCAAAAAAGAAACACACTGTTTCAAATGCAAAAGTTCTTACCACAAGGTTTTATGCAGTTCATATAAAGAACTCGGATGAACCCAGATCATTTCTTTTTGAATCTGCAGGTATTTAATGCGCCTAATCATTGACAGGGTTGTCTTTTTTCATGTATGAATAAACTAATGATTAAACTAATGACTCAGTTATTGACATTTGTTATTATAAGTGGCACTGCAGATATGAGCCAGTAATACACACCATTCAGTCATGAACATCCCTCTATGTGTTGGGCATTGTACCAGGATACGTAGTAGATATACTTGTTTTCTTCAGACCTTAAAAAATAACGTGTTGTTTCATTTCATCGAGTGTTTAAGCTGCACCTTCTCAACTATATTGTGTATAATGTGATATAGAAGTTTTAGCTGTAAACGTGGTAGTCTAATGAGAGAGGAAGTAACAGCCAGCAGTGTTTAGAGAAACTTCCTGCAAACTTGTTGTAGTGCAAAGAGGGAAGAGGTACAAGAGGAGGAAGAAGAGAAGTAGAGTCAGTTCAGAGCAGAGACACCGAGCAGAGATCACAGAGGAGTGAAGAGACAGAAAGAGGTAACACTAAATCATTTTAAAATTGTTAATGGAAACTGTAAAAAGTATATTCACCCTTCCCTAACTACTGTAATACAATGTGTGTTTTTTTATTTATTTATCAATTGGGAAAATCAAGGATGGGGGGTGAGATTGTACATTTTTATTTCAAATGAGCTGTTACAAATGAGAAAAGTTTATTTATTCTGCAGCTCTCTGGAAAGTGCTTCAAAATAAACATTTCAGGGGACTTACAACTCTACAGAAGATTTGAGCCAAATGTATTAATGTAACTACGGAATCGCTAAACATGCAACATCCTGTATTTAAATATGTACAGTCAGCCATGAAGGTGTCGCTGGTTCAGTTTCATCACCTGAACTTCTTATATGTTGTTTTTTTGTGTGTTTGTGAAATGAAGAGTTTTCCCTGTGGAGGGAGAGACCGATCGTCTTCAGCTTTGAATCAGGATGCTTGTTCTCATCTGGGCGACTCTGCTCTTCTCTGTGAGAGGCAACAGTGCTGATGCAGGTACAATGTGTAACTGTGATATTGTTATGCTTCCAATATTTATCTTTTGAAGCTGCTCACAACACTTTAAGTGCTAAATTGAAATATTTTGAAAAAACAAATGTCAATTCAAGCTCCACATATAAGTATTTTTTGTGTTTCTGTTGGTTGTAGAGTGTTAAAATTAGGATGATCCACAACATCTAATCATTTTCAGGGGATAATCTGGGATAGACTGGTTTAAATATTTTAATTTAAGAATTCATTTAAAAAAATTTGAAAAAGTTGGATGTTCAGTATAGGAATAATATAACTTTTGCATCAATCAGAGTGGATTCTGATAACACTGGATGAGACAATGTCGACCTCATACATCAACTACTGGATTAATGTAGATAGATTTTAATGAATGGGATCTGTCTTCATCAATGATCTCTTCTTGTATCATTAAAAGCTAACATCTTTATTTCTCTTTTTCACTCTTTTCATGAACAGGTTCCTCTCCTACAGGAAAAAAATGCTGCCAAAATACTCATCACTGTATCCTCATTCAAGAGACAGAAATAACATCAGAGGCTGGACTCTGTGTTGTGATACCGTGCTCTTTCACTGTTGCTGCTGGTTTTGATGTCAAAAGTGTAATTTGGTACAAATGTGATCCAGCTGATAAAAAAGATTGTAAATCTGACACACCGATATTTAACTCCAGTAACAACGGAAATGCTCAGTCTGGGTTTAGAGGACAAGTGTCACAGTTGGAGCCTGACATGAGTCAGAAAAACTGCAGCATCATCATCAATGACCTGATGGAGTCAGACTCTGGATCATATCGACTAAGAGTTACCGGTCCCCCGAATCAGAAGACGGATGACTGCACATTCAATTCTAAAGCAACTATCAAAGTTACAGGTATCAACAGCTACAGTAAATACCTTATGTACAGTGAAGGTGTTATTTGTTAATGTTACAGTATAATATGCATTTATATGTTTGGCTTCATAGATTATCAAAGAGTTGGTCTGTCCAAATTACAAAGAAGCATTTTTTCACACTTACCTGTAGCTGCATTGAGTCATACAGACATTTTTGTTCTAATGTGAGGTTTCAGCTGCCACTCCAACACATTTTTACTTTACTTATTATTACTTTCTTTATATTTTCATATTTATTTTTGTGATGGCCAAAACATAACAGCAACAGGTCTCTCTGGAACAAGGTTGTGGCCACTCAAAATAATGCACAGGTTTTTTATGGGAACCATCTCCTGCCAAAGAAATAGTCTTAATGAAACCTAATGACAGATTGTGATTTTTTTTGTGTGTGTTCATAGGACAAACTAATCCTTTAATGAGGCAAAATGTAATGTTTGGCTTATGTCGTCCTCTGGTGAAACTGAAACAACAGTGACAGTTGTTCTCTTACAAACATTCCTGCCATTTATATTTGCTCTTCCTGCAGCTCTGACTCAGAAGCCCGAGGTGACGATTCCTCCACTGACAGAGGGACAGCAGACCACACTGACCTGCACTGCTCCTGGTCTCTGCTCTGGATCTGATCCTCAAATCACCTGGACGTGGAGAGGAGCAGGAGAGAAAGGCTCCCACATCACAGGAAACATCACTGATTTCAAGACTGAGAGTCTGACCGCTGTCACACAGAGACACAGTTCAACTTTGACCTTTAACGCTTCAGCTGAACACCACGGCACCAGTGTCACCTGTAAGGTCAGCTTCACAGGAAACGCTACAACAGAGGAGACAGTGACTCTGACCTGTGAGTAGCACATACTGTACTTCATTGTCACATTTAATTTTAACTGTGTAAAGATTTTGCTGAGATTTGCTCTTTCTGAGGGTTTTCTGAACTGTGTTGAATGTTACANAACAGTTGTGAAAAAGATATTTTATGAAAGCAGGATATTTTAAAGTTTAACAATAAACTTTATTTTCCAAAATGACATCAGTGCACTGAAGCGGTAAATTTCACTGGGAATTAAATAAATTAACTATAAAAATAACTTTGAATTATTATTGACTTATTAATAAAGTATAAATAAAAAACATAAGAACAAATATGTAAATATATTATATATACTTGAATGAAAACAAAAGATCATATATACATAAAATGCTGCCTATATAACTTGACTTGACCCGAGCATTTCCACTGCATTATTACTTCTTAATAAAAGTATTCATATCAGCACATATCGGAAAATATATGCGCCGATACTGACATATCTGTGATATAAATGATATATTAATTAAATGTTAATTAAATGTTTGCTAAAATATCAGTCTTGTGTTAAGAGAATAGTCTTTACTTGTCTCAGTTGCTGCAGTAAATGGTTCAGAGGGCTTAAACATTGGACAGGGGCCCTGGAACATGGCTGGGATTATAGATAATTGTTCTTGTGCTCTTGTTGTAAAGATTATTGTGATAAATTCAATGATACAGAATGTTTCAAGAACTGAGCACAAAGTGCTTTACCATAAAAGAAAGTGGTCAAAGCCCTGCACAAAGTGTGTTAGTCTAGAAACTACAGAATAACTGAACGTGATGATGATGTTAACTGTGGAGTTTCCTTTGGTTCAGTTCCTGCCTGTTTATTGCATTTTTAGTACAAAGTTTGTCCTGTGGAGAGAGACTGACTGTCTCAAGCATCAAAGGATGTTTGTTCTCATCTGGTCGACTCTGTTTTTCTCTGTGAGAAGCAGCAATGCTGATACAGGTATTCAATTTTTATTTTTAATCTTGTTTTGTTGCCAACATTAAAGATATTTATGAAATAATTAGCAATAATTTGCCAAAATAAATGTACTTATGAAGATCCTCCAGACAAGCTTTCAAATTAAAGTATTTAGTTTTTCCACACTGAATTTACCAGCATATTACACATTACTCACAACATCTATTCACATGGAAACTCTAGGATAGATAGTTAATTGTGCATTTATTTATTTTTTTATTTACCACATATATTATGAATAATGAAGTGTGTTAATTACTGAAATTCTATTGTGTTCTTTGGTCAACACTTCTAACAGCAGTTATATAACTAAGATACAGTCGATGTACTATATGACATTTCTTCATCATTTATTTAATGTCATGGTGTAACTTTCTCATTCCCTGTTTCTGTCTTACTGTTGCATTAACAGGTGCATCAGTGGGAGGAAGACAACAATGTTTACGCTTCCCATATGGATACTGTATCACTCTGCCTGAAGGAGAAATAACAGCTGAGGCCGGACTCTGTGTTGTGATACCGTGCTCTTTCACTACTAGTTATAGCTTTACACCCCAAAAGCTAGTTTGGTACAAATGTGAACCAACTGAAGAAAAATGTAGTGATTCAGACGTTATATTCCACACTAACAAAAACAACATAAAAATTCAGTCTGAGTTTAGAGGGCGAGTGTCACAGTTGGAGCCTGATGTGAGTCAGAGGAACTGCAGCATCATCATCAATGACCTGAAGGAGTCAGACTCTGGATCATATCAATTCAGAGTTAATGGTATTCTGAATGGAAGATCAGATGGGTTGACATACCCTCCAAGGGCAACTGTCTCTATTAAAGGTAAGAAGAACTACAATAAACATATAAAGTGAAATGTTGTGCCTTTTGAACTGCACTGACATATCTGGTGTATTTACAGTCTTAATGGGACATAAAGTAATGTTTGGCATTTGTCGACCTCTGTGGGCAGCCAGTTCCTACTGGTTCCCTCATTGAAGAGTTTATCAAAATATCAGATTAATTGAACCCAAATTTAAGTGAAAGATGACCTTCAGGCTGCTCACCTGATTCCACTTATGGACTGGTCTCCCTTCAGCTCTGACTCAGAAGCCCGAGGTGACGATTCCTCCTCTGACAGAGGGACAGCAGACCACACTGACCTGCACTGCTCCTGGTCTCTGCTCTGGATCTGATCCTCAAATCACCTGGACGTGGAGAGGAGCAGGAGAGAAAGGCTCCCACATCACAGGAAACATCACTGATTTCAAGACTGAGAGTCTGTCCGCTGTCACACAGAAACACAGTTCAAATTTGACCTTTAACCCTTCAGCTGAACACCACGGCACCAGTGTCACCTGTAAGGTCAGCTTCACAGGAAACGCTGCAACAGAGGAGACAGTGACTCTGAATGTGACCTGTGAGTAGCACATACTGTACTTCACTGAGATTCGCTCTTTCTGAGGGTTTTCTGAACTGTGTTGAATGTTACATCATCATCTGTGTTCTTGAATTTAGTGATGCTATATAATTGTGCAACATGTCTTTTTGTGTCATAGATGTGAAGGAAATTAGAGTCACTGGGGATACAAGTGTGAAGGAGGGTGAGACTGTGAATCTGACCTGCAGTGTTGACAGTTTCCCTCCATTACTCATCGTGTGGACTAAACTGTCCGACCTAAACATTCAAAATGGAACAGAAACTAATCTGCACAACGACACATTAACTGACCTGCAGAACGACACTGAAACTTACCTGCAGCAAGGAAGTGGAGTGGCCACTCTCTCCATCTCTAATGTGACAGAAGATGAATCTGGGCTGTACATCTGCACAGCAAAACATCTGAATAACAGCTGGAAGAAAAATGTGAATGTAACAGTGATATGTAAGTACATTGTTCTACATTGTGTTTTCAGATGGTAAATTAATAGTACTGTAGTTTTTTCGTAGCAGATAACTGAAACTATGAGTTTACTACAGACACCAAATTTAATAACCCTCCCAATTCACCCTCAATAACTTGCCCTACCCTGCACCTTCAAATGTGCAATATTTTAGGCCATTTTCATCATTTCTAACTGCATGTCTTTTACTGTACTGACGTTTAATGGTGTCTTTTAGTTTCTGTTGTAACTTAGATTTTGTGCTTTGTTGCTGTGTGACAGCTTTCAGGTGGTCGTCATCTTCACCACAGCCACATGTTTAGAATAATAAAAACTTGTGTTGTTGTTAAAGGGATGGTTCACGTCATATGATGTGGGGTTGTATGACGTGGTCATGCATAGTCGGTGTATTTCCTGCAATAGATTCAGACTGACACGCTGCCATTTAGGAGAGGCAGCAGGGAACATGGCACACTAGCAGAGAGATTTGTGCTACTGTGAACAGCAGAAAAAATGTGTTTTAGACACTTTTAAAAGACGCCCCCGAAACAGTTAGATATACGCTTCATGTAGAATATTTTCAGGTCATTATCTTCCCATCAAAACAGCACTTTCCTTTGGTCCTACATTGTTCTGCTGAACTGCCATATTCCTACACACAAGTGCACCTACAGTGTGAACTGTATTATGCCACAGTCGCAGGTCAGCTGAGTGAATCAGAAAGAGCTAAACTTCACTTTGTGGTGACGAGAAGATGAAGCACTGGAAATATTCTAAATTAAGCGTACATTTAAACAGATATTGGATTGTTTCTGTAGGCGGCTTTTGTCTAAAACATGTTTTTTTCTGCTGGCCCCGTGCACAGCAGCACATCGCTCTGCTTCTGTGCCATTGATCCCAGCTGCTTCTCTAAACTGGCAGCGCACTGATCTGAATATACTGCAGGTAACACACTGACTGTGCAGGACTACCTCACACAACCCCACGTCAAATAACCCAAACTATCACTTTAATGTCACTCTATGGCATTTTGAAATGTATTAAACTTTAGCACCCTCTAGTGGTAGTATTTAAAAACATAGACTGTGGCAGACTGCTTAAGTACATGCAATCACAAAAACTTATATACTTAACTGATACCTATATTTATACAGTTTTATGTAAAGAATTGACAATATGGCTGTTTTTTGGTACTTTTTTAGAACTCCTAAAATTACTCTGAAGTTGCACTACTGTATGTGATATATACAATGAATTGCTTTACTTAAAGATGTTTTGAATTGATTAGAAAAAGTTCTTCATCTGTCCCCTCCCTCTTTATATTCAGCTCAAATGTATGTATGTTTAAAATGTGCTTCACAGATATGAGAGAACCTGGGATCACTGGGGATACAACTGTTAAGAAGGGAAGTGCTCTGAATCTGACCTGCAGCCTTGAAAGTTTCCCTCCATCTCTTATTACATGGACTAAACTTGGCCTCAATACAAACCTGCACAATGGAACTAACCTGCAGAGCAACACTGGATCTGCCAGACTTCTCATCCCTAATGTGACCGCAGAAGATTCTGGACAGTACGTCTGTACAGCAAAACACCTGGACACGAATGTGACTATTTATGCTGATGTGACAGTGACTTGTAAGTAGACTGTACTAATCTTTTTGAGAAGGAGGTTTATGTTCACATTTTAATCTGTCAGCATATTGTTGTGATGTTGTGATCCTGCTTGTGTGTTTACAGGGTTTTCAAAGATCTCAAAAAACTCTAGATGTGAGGTTCAGTCGGAGCTCCTGACCTGTGTGTGTATCACTGAGGGGATTCCCTTACCCACCATCAAATGGCCGCTGTTGAAGAACTACACTGAGTACTCAGTCATTACCACTGTGACAAACCACACAGTCAACAGCACCGTCATTCTCACTGTAAAAGATCCCAGCAACACTGTTGTTGACTGTGTCAGCGGCAATGAAAATGGGGAAGCAAAGATGAACCTCAACATCCAAAAAAACTCTATCACACAAGGTGGTACATGTTCTCAACCACAACACTGCTACCATAGACCACTGCTTTATGACGTTTTTATGACCTATTTTACCTCTTTTGTTCAGACACATATTGGGCAAGCTTTCGCATGTATATAATTGTTCAGAAACACATGGGCATCAACATTTTTTCTTTTGTTCCCTCTGATTGCAGAACCATCCAATCCATTATTAAAAAGTATTTCACGGTTGGAAACCATCATTGCCTTTTTGATTGGTGTTCTTCTTTCAGCAATCATCTGCTGTTTCGCAAAAAAATGCCACAGGTGCACTATTAATTTGATTAATTATTTCTTAGGTTTTCTTAGTGGATAATTATACATGTAAATATCTTGCTGTTTAATTACGTTTACTCTTCTTTTTTTTCAGAAAAAAAGCGAACTCTGGAAATCTGGATGAGACTGTGGAGATGGTGACCAGTCAAGAGGATCCACTGGTATTTATATTGATTCATCTTATAGTATATATATCAGTTAATGGTTTGAGATACTCCCTATCTCTTTCTTAAACAACCATGTGCATGTTTAGTCCATTTTTTACAAATAATGTACAGATAGCAGTACTGCTGACCATTATGGAGAACTTTGTGTTTTTTTATTTTAGACGTGTGAATGTGGTTTCCGTTTCAGTCACAGACACTTTATTCAGGGAACCAACCATAATTACCAAACGACAACACAATTGCATTGTACAGAGAAGGCGCTTCTCTTGGAGTGAGCTCTCAAAGACTCTGAGCAGCAACAGAGAGTCTGTTATATGAACCAATCCCCTCTTAACAAACTTTTAACATACGTCGACATGAAACCCTGCAGTAATGCAGCACATAAGGAGGAGGTTGGTGTGGTGAAGGGAGGTACAGCATCAGCTGAGTAATGGTGACAAGGGTCAGGTTTTAAATGCTGCTTTGTACACCTGCATTAATATGACTGGACGTCATTAGTCAGCTTGTAGCCAAGCAGTTGATGAATGAGCCACTGATGGTGAAGTCTAAATGAAGCAGCTCATGTCAATCAACTCATGCAAGCATAACTTTATGTATATCTATGCTTGATTCATTTCCTACATGAAAATCAAGTTGCAGAGCGCTGAAAGTTGCAGACCTGCAAACTTGAGATACTGTTTATTTTATCACAGTCGACACCATGTCTTCTTCTATGGTCAGAGTTCCCGTTTTGTTGCTTTGCAATGCACTTTTAAATAGACTGATTTGAAAAGACTGTTCTGGATGACCATATAACAGTAATCTAACCATCACACAAAGCAGATACATACATAAGTGAAAAGACTCAAGCTGTAGCCGGGAGGAACAGAAACATGGCTATGACTTAAAAAGAATAGTTGGCAGCAATGCAAAATATCCCAGACAGAGAGAGTTAATGCATAGTGTAGAGTTTTTGGGCTTGTAGCAGCTGCTGAATCAGTCATATCATTTACATTGTACCTGGCAGATACATGATGGTCAAGCAGTAGAAGATGATCAGACCCACGGCCGAAAGGGAGCTGAAGATGCAGCTGTGGCAGCAGAGAAAACAGCCCCTGTACTGGACACTGGGCCAAAAGACGTGGAGTACGCCAGCATTGACTTCTCACTGTTGAAAAGAAGGAGTCTCAGGCAGGCGGCAAAGAAACAAGAGACCGCAGAGACAGAGTATGCTGAAATCAAAAAAGAAGTAAAAGAGGAAAGAGAAGACGACGGTGGAGAAGAAGGTGAAATGTTGGAGGGGAAAGAGGAGAGGGTCATGAAGGAGGAGGATGAGGAGACAAAATGCTGTGTCCCAGGAGAGGAGGAAGGGGAGGACATGGCGGTGTACTCCAATGTAAAGGATATAATGGGTGAGATGTAAGGATTGTGTCTTGGAAATGCCTGAAGATAAAGTGTCATTGCTCTCATCAGATGTAATGGATTAACACCACCAGCGCTGTGATCTTCAAAAGCCAAATTCAGCTTGTGATAAACTGTGACTGAGATACGTAACACCTCTACATTTTTGGTGCTATGCATCTGCACTCATTTGACTCAAGGTGGACTGGAAGTTGGGCAGAATTTCCTCATTCAAGTGTTATTGTGCTGTAGTATGTTGTGCCCTTTTGGTCCAAGTGGTTATCTGTTTTTGGTAATAAATGTCAGTCCGTCCGCCACCTTGATTCAGACTAAAAAATCGAAACCATTGAACAAACTGCCTTCAAACTTTGTACAGACATGATATAGATTAGATTATATACAGTACACTGAAAGAGTAAGATCCCTTCCTAGAGTAGTTCCATTGTACGCAGTGTCATCTACTGATCTCATTCTCTGCAAAGTAAGCATTACAAGATGGAGTTAATGAGACTTCAGCGGTCTGAATTTGACAAATCAAGAAGGTGTCCCTAGAATATATACCCAATATCAGTTTCCTTGTTTCTTGCTGATTTGCAGTGGGTGGATGGTAATGACATTTCAGTTGCCTATAGCTATTTGTATTTTATGCCTTTAGGGATTACAGATCAGTGCAATGTCAGTTTTAATAATCTTCATTTTATCATGTTATTTCAAGCTAATTTGCTTCTATAGCTCTGTTAAAGCTGCTGCTCTTCAGCAGGTCATGGATTACTTCCCCTTTTGAAAAATGTGTTAAAAATCAGGTTGACTCTCAGTACTAAGTAAGCAGGTTTTATGTTTTAACAGAAAATACATTTGTTTATGTTTGGAGCTAACCCATTGAGTTGTCAGTTTTTAAGCTTTTCATATATTTTGCAATATCTACAGGTTCTGTGACAGTTCAGTGAGTGTTGAATCAGTAACTGATAAGGACAGCTATAGTTTGTGGCTAAAATGGCCGTTAATATCTATGTGTGTGAAAAGGAAGTTATTAAACAGAATCCAGTGATGCCATATTAGGCAAAGTAAGATGACTAATTGCTTGATCCACCTCTCTGAGAACGCAGCTTTGAAAGACTTTGCACAATACACCATTGAACCAAAAAAGAAACACTGTTTCAAATGCAAAAGTTCTTACCACAAGGTTTTATGCAGTTCATATAAAGAACTCGGATGAACCCAGATCATTTCTTTTTGAATCTGCAGGTATTTAATGCGCCTAATCATTGACAGAGTTGTCTTTTTTCATGCATGAATAAACTAATGATTAAACTAATGACTCAGTTATTGACATTCGTTATTATAAGTGGCACTGCAGATATGAGCCAGTAATACACACCATTCAGTCATGAACATCCCTCTATGTGTTGGGCATTGTACCAGGATACGTAGTAGATATACTTGTTTTCTTCAGACCTTAAAAAATAACGTGTTGTTTCATTTCATCGAGTGTTTAAGCTGCACCTTCTCAACTATATTGTGTATAATGTGATATAGAAGTTTTAGCTGTAAACGTGGTAGTCTAATGAGAGAGGAAGTAACAGCCAGCAGTGTTTAGAGAAACTTCCTGCAAACTTGTTGTAGTGCAAAGAGGGAAGAGGTACAAGAGGAGGAAGAAGAGAAGTAGAGTCAGTTCAGAGCAGAGACACCGAGCAGAGATCACAGAGGAGTGAAGAGACAGAAAGAGGTAACACTAAATCATTTTAAAATTGTTAATGGAAACTGTAAAAAGTATATTCACCCTTCCCTAACTACTGTAATACAATGTGTGTTTTTTTATTTATTTATCAATTGGGAAAATCAAGGATGGGGGGTGAGATTGTACATTTTTATTTCAAATGAGCTGTTACAAATGAGAAAAGTTTATTTATTCTGCAGCTCTCTGGAAAGTGCTTCAAAATAAACATTTCAGGGGACTTACAACTCTACAGAAGATTTGAGCCAAATGTATTAATGTAACTACGGAATCGCTAAACATGCAACATCCTGTATTTAAATATGTACAGTCAGCCATGAAGGTGTCGCTGGTTCAGTTTCATCACCTGAACTTCTTATATGTTGTTTTTTTGTGTGTTTGTGAAATGAAGAGTTTTCCCTGTGGAGGGAGAGACCGATCGTCTTCAGCTTTGAATCAGGATGCTTGTTCTCATCTGGGCGACTCTGCTCTTCTCTGTGAGAGGCAACAGTGCTGATGCAGGTACAATGTGTAACTGTGATATTGTTATGCTTCCAATATTTATCTTTTGAAGCTGCTCACAACACTTTAAGTGCTAAATTGAAATATTTTGAAAAAACAAATGTCAATTCAAGCTCCACATATAAGTATTTTTTGTGTTTCTGTTGGTTGTAGAGTGTTAAAATTAGGATGATCCACAACATCTAATCATTTTCAGGGGATAATCTGGGATAGACTGGTTTAAATATTTTAATTTAAGAATTCATTTAAAAAAATTTGAAAAAGTTGGATGTTCAGTATAGGAATAATATAACTTTTGCATCAATCAGAGTGGATTCTGATAACACTGGATGAGACAATGTCGACCTCATACATCAACTACTGGATTAATGTAGATAGATTTTAATGAATGGGATCTCTCTTCATCAATGATCTCTTCTTGTATCATTAAAAGCTAACATCTTTATTTCTCTTTTTCACTCTTTTCATGAACAGGTTCCTCTCCTACAGGAAAAAAATGCTGCCAAAATACTCATCACTGTATCCTCATTCAAGAGACAGAAATAACATCAGAGGCTGGACTCTGTGTTGTGATACCGTGCTCTTTCACTGTTGCTGCTGGTTTTGATGTCAAAAGTGTAATTTGGTACAAATGTGATCCAGCTGATAAAAAAGATTGTAAATCTGACACACCGATATTTAACTCCAGTAACAACGGAAATGCTCAGTCTGGGTTTAGAGGACAAGTGTCACAGTTGGAGCCTGACATGAGTCAGAAAAACTGCAGCATCATCATCAATGACCTGATGGAGTCAGACTCTGGATCATATCGACTAAGAGTTACCGGTCCCCCGAATCAGAAGACGGATGACTGCACATTCAATTCTAAAGCAACTATCAAAGTTACAGGTATCAACAGCTACAGTAAATACCTTATGTACAGTGAAGGTGTTATTTGTTAATGTTACAGTATAATATGCATTTATATGTTTGGCTTCATAGATTATCAAAGAGTTGGTCTGTCCAAATTACAAAGAAGCATTTTTTCACACTTACCTGTAGCTGCATTGAGTCATACAGACATTTTTGTTCTAATGTGAGGTTTCAGCTGCCACTCCAACACATTTTTACTTTACTTATTATTACTTTCTTTATATTTTCATATTTATTTTTGTGATGGCCAAAACATAACAGCAACAGGTCTCTCTGGAACAAGGTTGTGGCCACTCAAAATAATGCACAGGTTTTTTATGGGAACCATCTCCTGCCAAAGAAATAGTCTTAATGAAACCTAATGACAGATTGTGATTTTTTTTGTGTGTGTTCATAGGACAAACTAATCTTTTAATGAGGCAAAATGTAATGTTTGGCTTATGTCGTCCTCTGGTGAAACTGAAACAACAGTGACAGTTGTTCTCCTACAAACATTCCTGCCATTTATATTTGCTCTTCCTGCAGCTCTGACTCAGAAGCCCGAGGTGACGATTCCTCCACTGACAAAGGGACAGCAGACCACACTGACCTGCACTGCTCCTGGTCTCTGCTCTGGATCTGATCCTCAAATCACCTGGACGTGGAGAGGAGCAGGAGAGAACGGCTCCCACATCACAGGAAACATCACTGATTTCAAGACTGAGAATCTGACCGCTGTCACACAGAGACACAGTTCAACTTTGACCTTTAACGCTTCAACTGAACACCACGGCACCAGTGTCACCTGTAAGGTCAGCTTCACAGGAAACGCTACAACAGAGGAGACAGTGACTCTGACCTGTGAGTAGCACATACTGTACTTCATTGTCACATTTAATTTTAACTGTGTAAAGATTTTGCTGAGATTTGCTCTTTCTGAGGGTTTTCTGAACTGTGTTGAATGTTACATCATCATCTGTGTTCTTGAAGAAGTGATGCTATATAATTGTGCAACAATTTTTTTTGTGTCATAGATGTGAAGGAAATTAGAATCACAAATTAGAAAACTGAGTACAAATAAGACAGTGTCTCTGAATGTGACCTGTGAGTATAGCACATACTATATATTATTCACAGCATGCTCTCTCAGCTCAGTGTTGATATCCTCAGATTCACTTGTTCACTTCAGCAGCAAGGGAAAACACTTGGTAAACAGTTTTTCTTAAATTTGAGAGTTGTTTTGTCTGATGGCATATTTATAAGGAACTTAAAATCAGTGGAAATACAACTGTGAAGAAGCGTGATGTTCTGAATCTGACCTGCAGTGTCGATAATTTCCCTGAAAGTTTAATTAAAAGGACTAATTCCGGCTCCAACAAAAACCTGCATCAAACAAATGAAAATCACCAGCAAGAACACAGAGCATCATCCTTTCTTATCCACAATATGACAGCAGACAATTTTCACATTACATGTTTAAAGCAAAACATCCAGACAGCACCCCGATGAAGAGTTGATATAACATGAGTACATTTTGTCAATGCTCATAAAAAGGAAATCCACATTTGTGTTCGTCATTATTGGATATCTTCATTATCAGAGGGTCTCATCAGTTCTAATGTCAGTCAATTTAATTTTCCAGGTGGTTGTCAGCCTCAGACTTAAGCAACATGTTTAGAATAAAACTGAATTGTTTTGTTGGAACTATTCTAAAAATTTGTCAAAAATTTTGTCTAAAAGTTGTGGAGAAATCTGCAGTCACTGGAATGACACCTAATACAACGGGCAAAGTCATCACCACGGTGACAGGGCATGAAAACAACCCCACCACCATCCTTACTGTAAAAGGTCACAACAGCACTGTTGCTAAGTGTGTCAGCGGCAATGAAAACAAGACAGCAAAGGAGAACTGCACAAAGCCAACAGCTGATTCGAAACAATCTGGTAAGTGTTCACAACGGCTACACTGACAATGTCACCTAATTTTGTGGGGGTTTTGTATAGAGTCCGACCGGTATTTTTGGGGCTGATGCCGATACTGATATTAGGGAGTAAAATATATCCGATATAGATATATTGGGTGATGTGTATATATATATATGTATATGTATATATATAAAAATAATGACAACAGTGCACTGAAACAGTTACTACAAATAAATAACATAAGAACAAATATGGATATATAAATATGTATACATATGTATATATATACTGTATATATATATATATATATATATATGTATATATGTATGCTTAACTTGAATGAAAACAAAGGATCAAATATACATAAAATGCTGCCTATATAACTTGACTTGACCCGAGCATTTCCACTGCATTATTGCTTCTTAATAAAAGTATTCATATCAGCATTTATCAGAGAATATATGCACCGATACTGACATATCTGTGATAAATTGGTCGGGCTCTAGTTTTGTGTATTTTATATTATCATTGAGAACAAGGAGAGACGACAGTGACCAGTTTTTTTTGTCTTCATTCCAGATCTACTCACAAAATTGCTGGGAATTGTTAAACAGCCACAAGTCATCATTGCATTTTTGATTGGGATACTTCTTTCGGCGACCATCTGCTGTTTGATTGGAATATGCAAAAGGTACACTTTTAAGTTTTTTATCCTTGTATTACTGAGTTTCTTTTCTTGACACTGCTATTCTTTTCTTTCTTTCTTTCTTTCTTTCTTTCCTTCTTCTTTCTTTCTTTCTTTCTTTCTTTCTTTCTTTCTTTCTTTCTTTCTTTCTTTCTTTCTCTTTCCTCTACTTTACATAAAGTTTTCAAGGTGTACCACTAATGTTTTTAATAAATTCTTCCTACATACATTCATCCATTTACCTTTTTACATACTCGGGACACTGTAGACATATCGCCTGAAGATTACAAAGTTAACAAACATCACAGGAAAATGGTTATTAGTCATGATTACCTGATAAAACAAAGGTTGTTGATCACTGATGTAAAGTCCATCAGTTGTATGGACTAAAACATTCCAAATCACAGGTGTTGTCCTTTAAACCCCTGTTTTAAGTGTGACTTTAATTCTATAATATTTTTTTCATTGATTGTTTTGTCATTTGTTTACGATTGTCACCAATTCATTATGTTTCTCGCCAGAAAAAAACAGAGGGGATCTGGGAATCTGGCTGAGAACCTGGAGATGGTGACCACTCAAGCGGTTCCACTGGTATGTATATTACTATTTATAGTAACACAACTCATTATGATATATTAGTTAAATGTTAATTAAATGTTTGTAAAATATCAGTCTTGTGTTAAGGCATGCATTCAATATTTTTTTTTTATTTCACCAAAGACTTAGTAGTAGACTGCATTGCAATAACACACAACTGTAATCTAACTAGGATTAAAATAGGAGCAGACATGATCATTTGATGGATTACCTCCAGTATCTCAAGCAGTTTCAATTCTTTTTAAAACAAAGGGAAACAAGTAGAAAGCAGATGCACATTTAAAGATCGGAGAAACGGATTAAAATATAGATGAAAATATGTAATGTCACTAATTGAGAGGAGAACTTTCATGCATTGTGTACATACAGTTGTATGGCCTTTGTTAGGTAGCAAATGACTTACATCATTACTATGTTGTATACGTATAGATCGATGATGGTCAAGCTGTGAACGATGATGATTGGACCCATGACCTAGAGGCAGCTGAAGGAGGAGCTAGTGCCATGGAACCAAAAGAGGTGGAGTACTCCAACATTGACTTCTCTGTGCTGAAACAGAGGAGTCCCTCAGAGGCCGAGACACAAGACCCTGGAGAGACAGAGTATGCTGAAATCAAGAAAGAACCACCAGTGGAGGGACAAGACAATGCTGGCGATGAAAGTGTAGTGTTGGAGGGCAACAAAGAGGAGGAAGCAATGATAGGGGTAAATAAGGGGACGGAACAGTTTATGCCAGCAAAGGAGGAGGGAAATGAGGATGTGGCGCTGTATTCTAGTGTGAATAAAACAATGGTTGAGACGGGATGAGTGTGTAGCTTGGTGGAGCCCCATTAAACAGAGGAGAGTGTATGAGAGCAACATGGGGAGTTGATGTAGTGCAGAAATTCATGTTCAGATATGATGAGACGGATATAAGATATATTTTTTTCATATGTAGATTTACTTTTACTGAAAGGAAAGCATGTATGTAACAATATCAAGTGACACATATTTCATGTACAAACATATTAATCCATACAAAGGCATCTTAACATGACAGATCCCCCATCAAGCCACTCTGTGTGTAAATACTCAAAACATGAGGCTGGTGGGAAAAATAAAAAGCTATTGAATAAAATGTCACTTTAAGGATATATTTTTACACTTTGCTTTAGAATTGTTTACATGCAAACAAGCTTTGATGTCTCTCACAGGATTCATGGATCAGGGAGAATCAACAGTTTTACGCGGCAGTTAAGCTTTTCATTACTTTTACAAAATATCTATTATTAAGAAATAAATGCAGATGAATTTACTTTTAAATAAGTCAGAGTGAGAGTTAATGTGTGTCAAGATATCTAAGTAGCTTATTGAACAGAATTTCATGTTCAAATATTGTGTGTTGTTGTTTTTTATTATCTTTTTGTACATAATTTGACTGAACTGTTCATGTTCATGTAAAAGTTGACCATGTCCAGTGTACTTGACACTGAAACTTAAGTAACTCATGTTGGTCAAATCAGTGCATTGCATGCTCAATGATGTCATCAGTATAAGTGTGAAAATGAGGCAAATTGTAAAGTGCTATGAATTGCCATACATATTGGAAGTAGGTGAAGTTGTGCCTGAAATCCTTTTTCTGATTGAAGTGCTTAATAAATTCAGTAAACTTATTTGAAAGTTTCTTACTTTGTTGCCTTTTATTGATGGTATGTTTGTGCCCCAAGAATCCAAAGAGCACGTGTGTTTGCCTATGTGCCACTCCGTCCAAAACTAGAGTTTTTTTTTCATGTTTATGCCTTGCTATACTATGAAGTTGTATGCCTTAGTATGTTATAAATATACTATGATGTTATATTCCATAGCATACTATGATGTTTTTTGACATTTTTATGCCTTTCTATACCAGACGTTTTTTGACATTTTTATACCTTCCCATACCATGACGTTTGATGCCATAGTACGCTATGTCGTTCTTCCAGAATTTTTTACCTTACTATACCAAGACATTTTTTGACATTTCTATGTCTTACTATGGTTATCGTTTCATTATTTACCATACTAAGACCTTTTTATGACCTTTTATGCCTTAATATAATATGATGTCTTTTTGTAAATTTTTAAGCCATACTATACTATGACGTTTTTAGCAATTTTACGCCTTGCTATACTATGTCATTTTATTCCATACCATACTATGAAGTTTTTATGACCTTTTATGCCACAATATACTAAAATGTTTTTTTTAAATTTCATGCCACCCTATATGATGTCTTTTTTTACTTTTTATGCCATACTATACTATGATGTTTTTTGACATTTTTAAACCTTACTGTACTATCACGGTTTATTCCCTACCATGTTATGAAGTTTTTATGACCTTTTATGCCATAATATACGATAATGTTTTTTTTTTTTCATTTTATGACATACTAAACTAAATGTTCTACACAATACTATGACTTTTTTTGAACTTGTATGCCAAACTATACTATGACGTTTTTATGACCTTTTACAACTTAATATACTATGAAATTTTTTGACATTTCTTATGCCTTAATAAGATATGATGTTTTTTGTCATTCTATTACTTACCGTACTATGACGTTTTTATGACCTATTATGCCTTAATATACTGCGATGTTTTTTTGACATTTTATGCCATATTATACTATGAAGTTTTTGGCAATTTTACGCCTTACTATATTATGTAATTTAATTCCTTACCATACTATTAAGGTTTTATGACCTTTTGTACCATAATATACTATGATGTTTTTTGACATTTTTATTCCTTACTATACTATGATGGTTTTTTTTTACTTTTATGCCATACTATACTATGATGTTTTTTGACATAGTATGCTATGACGTTTTTTGACATTTTTAAGCCTTACTATGCAATGTCTTTGTATTCAATACTATACTATGACGTTTTTATGACTTGTTATGTTTTAATATAATATGATGTTTTTTCGACATTTTATGCCATACTATACTATGACGTTTTTTGTAATTTTTATGCCACATTATATTGTAACGTTTTTTGAAAATTTTCTGCCTTACTATACTTTGTGAGTCGATGCCTTACCATAATGTGACATTTTTATGACGTTTTATGTCTTGATGTACTGTGATGTTTTTTTTTACATTTTATGCTTTAATATACTATGTTATTTTGACATTCTTATGCCATACTAAACCACAACGTTTTTTTTTGACAATTTTAAGCCTTATCATGCAATGTCTTTGTATTCCTTACAATACTATGATGTTTTTATGACCTTTGATGCCTTAATAAACTATGATGTTTTTTTGACATTTTTAAGCCATACTATGCAAATTCTTTGTATTCTTTACTATACTATAATGTTTTTATGACTTTTTATGCCTTAATATACTATGATGTTTTTTTGACATTTTATGCCATACTATACTATGACATTTTTTAAAATTTTTTATGCCACACTATATTATGACTTTTTTTTGGCAATTTTCTGCCTTACTATACTTTGTGAGTCGATGCCTTACCATAATATGACGTTTTTATGACCTTTTATGCTTTAATATACTATGGTNCATTTTTATTCCTTACTATACTATGATGGTTTTTTTTTACTTTTATGCCATACTATACTATGATGTTTTTTGACATAGTATGCTATGACGTTTTTTGACATTTTTAAGCCTTACTATGCAATGTCTTTGTATTCAATACTATACTATGACGTTTTTATGACTTGTTATGTTTTAATATAATATGATGTTTTTTCGACATTTTATGCCATACTATACTATGACATTTTTTGAAATTTTTATGCCACACTATATTTTAACGTTTTTTGAAAATTTTCTGCCTTACTATACTTTGTGAGTCGATGCCTTACCATAATGTGACATTTTTATGACGTTTTATGTCTTGATGTACTGTGATGTTTTTTTTTACATTTTATGCTTTAATATACTATGATGTTATTTTGACATTCTTAGGCCACACTAAACCACAACGTTTTTTTTTGACAATTTTAAGCCTTATCATGCAATGTCTTTGTATTCCTTACAATACTATGATGTTTTTATGACCTTTGATGCCTTAATAAACTATGATGTTTTTTTGACATTTTTAAGCCATACTATGCAAATTCTTTGTATTCCTTGCTATACTATGATTTTGTTATGACCTATTATGCATTAATATACTATGATGTTTTTTAGAGATTTTATGCCATACTATACTATGACGTTTTTTGAAATTTTTAAGCCTTACTAAGCAATGTCTTTTTATTCGTTACTATACTATAATGTTTTTATGACTTTTTATGCCTCAATATACTATGACGTTTTTTTAAATTTTTTATGCCACACTATATTATGACTTTTTTTTGGCAATTTTCTGCCTTACTATACTTTGTGAGTCGATGCCTTAGCATAATATGACGTTTTTATGACCTTTTATGCTTTAATATACTATGGTGTTTTTTTGACTTTTTGTATCATACTATACTATGATATTTTTTGACATTTTTATGCCATACTATACTATGACGTTTTTGACATTTTTAAGCCTTACTATGCAATGTCTTTGTATTCCTTACTATACTATAACGTGTATATGACTTTTTATGCCTTAATATACTATGGTGTTTTTTTGACTTTTTGTGTCATACTATACTATGATATTTTTTTAAATTTTTATGCCACACTATATTATGTCATTTTTTGGCAATTTTCTGCCTTACTATACTTGGTGAGTCGATGCCTTACCATAATATGACGTTTTTATGACGTTTTATGCCTTAATGTGCTACGATGTTTTTTTGACATTTTATGCCATACTATACTGTTATATTTTGGACATTTTCAAGCCTTACTATACCAAGTCCTTGTATTCCTTTCCATTCTCTGATGTTTTCATGACCTTTTATGCATTAATATACTATGGTGTTTTTTTGACTTTTTGTGTCATACTATACTATGATATTTTTTGACATTTTTATGCCATACTATACTATGACGTTTNATCATGCAATGTCTTTGTATTCCTTACAATACTATGATGTTTTTATGACCTTTGATGCCTTAATAAACTATGATGTTTTTTTGACATTTTTAAGCCATACTATGCAAATTCTTTGTATTCCTTGCTATACTATGATGTTGTTATGACCTATTATGCATTAATATACTATGATGTTTTTTAGAGATTTTATGCCATACTATACTATGACGTTTTTTGAAATTTTTAAGCCTTACTAAGCAATGTCTTTTTATTCGTTACTATACTATAATGTTTTTATGACTTTTTATGCCTCAATATACTATGACGTTTTTTTAAATTTTTTATGCCACACTATATTATGACTTTTTTTTGGCAATTTTCTGCCTTACTATACTTTGTGAGTCGATGCCTTAGCATAATATGACGTTTTTATGACCTTTTATGCTTTAATATACTATGGTGTTTTTTTGACTTTTTGTATCATACTATACTATGATATTTTTTGACATTTTTATGCCATACTATACTATGACGTTTTTGACATTTTTAAGCCTTACTATGCAATGTCTTTGTATTCCTTACTATACTATAACGTTTATATGACTTTTTATGCCTTAATATACTATGGTGTTTTTTTGACTTTTTGTGTCATACTATACTATGATATTTTTTTAAATTTTTATGCCACACTATATTATGTCATTTTTTGGCAATTTTCTGCCTTACTATACTTGGTGAGTCGATGCCTTACCATAATATGACGTTTTTATGACGTTTTATGCCTTAATGTGCTACGATGTTTTTTTGACATTTTATGCCATACTATACTGTTATATTTTGGACATTTTCAAGCCTTACTATACCAAGTCCTTGTATTCCTTTCCATTCTCTGATGTTTTCATGACCTTTTATGCATTAATATACTATGGTGTTTTTTTGACTTTTTGTGTCATACTATACTATGATATTTTTTGACATTTTTATGCCATACTATACTATGACGTTTTTGACATTTTTAAGCCTTACTATGCAATGTCTTTGTATTCCTTACTATACTATAACATTTTTATGACTTTTTATGCCTTAATATACTATGGTGTTTTTTTGACTTTTTGTGTCATACTATACTATGATATTTTTTGACATTTTTATGCCATACTATACTATGACGTTTTTGACATTTTTAAGCCTTACTATGCAATGTCTTTGTATTCCTTACTATACTATAACGTTTTTATGACTTTTTATGCCTTAATATACTATGGTGTTTTTTTGACTTTTTGTGTCATACTATACTATGATATTTTTTGACCTTTTTATGCCATACTATACTATGACGTTTTTGACATTTTTAAGCCTTACTATGCAATGTCTTTGTATTCCTTACTATACTATAACGTTTTTATGACTTTTTATGCCTTAATATGCTATTGTGTTTTTTCGACATTTTATGCCATACTATACTATAACGTTTTTTGAAATTTTTATGCCACACTATATTATGTCATTTTTTGGCAATTTTCTGCCTTACTATACTTTGTGAGTCGATGCCTTACCATAATATGACGTTTTTATGACGTTTTAGGCCTTAATGTACTATGATGTTTTTTTGACATTTTATGCCATACTATACTATGTTATATTTTCGACATTTTCAAGCCTTACTATACCATGTCCTTTTATTC